GCCGCCCAGGCTGGAATGCAGTGGCCGGATCTCAGCTCACTGCAAGCTCCGCCTCCCGGGTTCACGCCATTCTCCTGCCTCAGCCTCCGGAGTAGCTGGGACTACAGGCGCCTGCCACCGCACCCGGCTAGTTTTTTGTATTTTTTAGTAGAGACGGGGTTTCACCGTGTTAGCCAGGATGGTCTCGATCTCCTGACCTCGTGATCCGCCCATCTTGGCCTCCCAAAGTGCTGGGATTACAGGCTTGAGCCACCGTGCCCGGCCTGGATACTAATTCTTAGCTGGCCAAATGAATTGAAAATATCTTTTCTAGTATATTGCTCAACTTTTATCTTTCTTTATAATATCTGTCTCACAAAATCTTTTTTTTTTTTCTTTCTCTGTAATTCAGGCTGGAGTGTAGTGGTGTGAACTTGGCTCACTGCAACCTCTGCCTCCCAGGTTCAAGTGATTCTCTTGCCTCAGCCTCCCGAGTAGCCGGGACTACAGGTTCATGCCACCACACCCGGCTCTTTTTCTGTATTTTTAATAGAGAAGGGGTTTCACCATATTAGCTAGGATGGTCTCGATCTCCTGACCTCATGATCTGCCCACCTCAGCCTCCCAAAGTGCTGGGATTACAGGTGTGAGCCACCGTGCCTGGCCCACAAAATCTTTTACATTTAATGTAATAGAGTTAACCAGCTTTTACATGATGCCTCGTGTCTTATTCAACAATTCTTTCCCCATCCAGATGTCTCATAAATACCAGACAATATTTTCTTACAAAAAATTTAAAGTTTGCTTTTCACATTTAGGTATTTAATCTAGAATACATTATTTTAGTGCATGGTATGAGGTTGCAAAAATAAAACGTACCTGTTTTTCTGTAGGATAGGCAATTGTCCAGCACCATTTATTAAAAGTTGATGTTTCTCTGTGAGTGGGACGCACTTTTGTGACACACTGTCACAGTATGCATAACAAAGGAAGAAGTCTATTTGCAGACTATTTTCTCCACTGGTTGATTCTTCTAAACACATTTTAAAAACAAATGCTTCTTGGCTGGGTGCGGTGTCTCGCGCCTGTAGTCCCAGCACTTTGGGAGGCCAAGACAGGTGGATCATTTGAAGCCAGGAGTTGGAGACCAGCCTGGCCAACACGGTGAAACCCTGTGTCTACTAAAAATACAAAAATTAGCCTGGTTTGGTGGCACACGCCTGTAATCCCAGCTACTCGGGAGGTTGAGGCAGGAGAATCACTTAAACCTGGGAGGCAGAGGTTGCAGTGAGCCGAGATCACGCCACTGCACTCCAGCCCAGGTGGCAGAGTGAGACCCTGTCTCAAACAAACAAACAAAACCACTAAAAACCACAAAAAAACCCACAAATGCTTCTTTAAAACAAATATATTCTATTTTTAATAATTTATATTTTATGCTTTATGCTGTCATGTGTGCATATACATTAAGTCAGGTTGAGAAATTACATTCTTTTTTTTTTTTCTTTTGAGACGGAGTCTCGCTCTGTCGCCCAGGCTGGAGTGCAGTGGCGCGATCTCGGCTCACTGCAAGCTCGGCCTCCCGGGTTCATGCCATTCTCCTGCCTCAGCCTCTGAGTAGCTGGGACTACAGGTGCCCGCCACCATGCCCGGCTAATTTTTTTGTACTTTTAGTAGAGATGGGGTTTCACCGTGATAGCTAGGATGGTCTTGATCTCCTGACCTCATGATCCACCCGCCTCGGCCTCCTAAAGTGCTGGGATTACAGGCGTGAGCCACCGTGCGCGGCCCAAGAAATTACATTCTTATATCACAATAAATGAGTCCTAATCTATTAACCTTATCATCTGGGCAGTAGAGCTGTATGCAGAAGAATGCCATCTTTTTGTTGTGCCTCTGAATTGCTTGTAAGGCCACAAGACCAATGCTGTTTTCTCTCACTTCTGATAATTTGGGGGAAATGGGATACTTGAGGGTCACCCTCCAAGGAAACCAGTCGGTAAATATTTGATTGATAGGCAGTTTCCATTTATCTACAAAATGAGATTACTCTTCATATGTGAGACATGATTCTGCAAGTCCTAAGAGAGTTCATCATGCATCCTGTTGTTTATTTTTCTTTTAGAACTCCCAAGTTTTTCTTGACCAGACAACCCATCATGAAATTTAGCATTGCAAAAATTCTGAATTGTTGGACAATGAACCCAGTCTTCAAAATTTACATGGGGGAATCATTGTGGTGAGGTGCAGGGCACATCTTGGATTAGCTCTATTTTGTGAAATAAGATGTACTTGAGAAATAATCACTGTATTTTTTCCTTTTTCTATTTTATATGTTTTGGTTGATATGAATTAGTTGTGACAGCGTCTGTGGTGGGCAAAACCTTAAGTGACCTCCCCCAGGGTCCCCACGTCTGGACGTTCACACCGTTGTGTGACCCCTGCCTTGACTGTGTGTGTAACCTGTGGCTTGCTTAGACAGACACAATACGGCAAAGGTGATGGGCTGTCACTCTGGTGGTGAGGGTATGTTAGATTAGACTCTGTTGCCAGCTCACTCACTCTGGTCTCTCTCTCCCTGGTTGGCTTTGTAAAAGCAAGTTGCCATGAGTCAGTCCCAGACATGCAATGACACAAACTTTGTCCAACACACGACCCCAGGGAGCGTTCACAACCAAGCCCTGGGGACATCATGATTTCAGCCTGAGAGACCCAGAGCAGAGGCCCGGTTGAGCAATGCCTGGACTCCGACCCCTGGAACCTGAGAGATGGTGCATGCATGTTGTTTTAAGCGGTAATAATGTTTGAAGTAATTGATGATACATGCGTGTTGTTTTAAGCAGCAATAATGTTTGAAGTAATTGTTATGTGGCAATAGAAAACTAATACGTTGACTTACAGATGATTGCTGAAAGTCACTTTCCTGGCTAATGCATAAGATGGTTGGAATGTTCCAACCAATTCCACCGGGTTTGTTTTATCCAGAGAAGAGATATGAGAATGTTTATATTAACTCTTTCCCAGGGCCTCTTACATTAACTTGTAGTTGAATGCCCATCCGTGGTTCTAAAACATGGCCTAGTTCCTACTTTCCCCTGCCTGTTTTATTTGTTCGCAAAGTCAGATGACTTGAGCTTGCAGCTCCAGCAGGGAAGGGTCCTTGTCTTTCCAGGTCTCTGCTATATCCCTCAGTAACCAGCGAGGGCTGGGTACACGGCAGGTTCAAGAGATACTGGTTAAATAGGTAAATGAACAAATAACTGTCATCATATTCTTAATAGTGTTATAATTCTCTGTCTCAGACTCTAGGGTAAGCGTTTTATGTACATTATCTCCCTCAATCGCTACAACAGCCGTGCTGGGTAAGTGGGACCCGTCTCCTTGGACAAGTGGAGAACTGGGGTTCCCAGAATTTAGCGACCACCAGAGATCAAACGGAGATTCAGTGGCAGCACTGGAGATCGGACCGATTCTATTTAAAACACTTGTCTATTTAAGTATATTTAAGAACACACACACACACAGATATATATACACACTCACATATACATGCACGCAATAGATATACAGCCTATATTTCTATATCAATACATATATTTGTACTATACACTTATAAATAAAATTTAATTTTGGTAAATAAAATGATATATAAATTTAGCAAAAGGATTGAAATTCTTCTCCGTCTATACTGATCTCTCTCGAGGGAGTGCAGTTTGGCAGCCCGGCTGCGCGAGGCTGTTTCCTGCCTGTGGGGTCCGCGCCGCGCCTCCGCGGGCTGTAGATGGCGCTCGAGTCCCGGCAGCGCCGGCTCCTCTGCGCCTTGGCAGCGCCTGTATTGACTCCTGGCGCCCTGGGCTGGTAGGGGAGCGTATTTTCTCACAATTAATTCAGATGGGTGGCCCCATTATGGGCGCTTCTTCATCTGTGAATTATTTCGTGTGAAGAGAAGTGCTTGCGTATGCTTAATTTCTAACCGTGATTCGGGGCCTCTGTGCCAGCCCCCGGCAGGGAAGTGGGGAAAGCTCGGGGTGGGTTGGGGGTGGAGGGCGCTTCTCCGGGCCCGGCCAGTGCCGGGAGAGCGGGCGCCGGGGAAGGAGCGTGTATGCGGAAGCCTCCTCTGAGCCTCTAAAGGACCCACATCACCTCGGTAATCTCACAACATCCTTGTGAAGGAGGCACGAGTATTAGACCCTTCGCAAAGAGGAATTGGCCTAGAAAAACTATTCTGAAGAATAGAACTAGAATAAAACTATTCTAAAGAAAGAGAATGGCCTGAGGCTGCTCCCGCCAGGGTCCGAGGCTAGCCCATCTCCACCTCGGGCACTAAAGGAGCGAAGAGAGCAGAGATCTCCGTGCATTTCTTCAGCCGCTAGTGCTTGTTCCTCTTTTTTTTTTTTTTTTTTTTTTTTTTGAGACGGAGTCTCGCCCTGTCGCGGCCCAGGCTGGAGTGCAGTGGCAGGATCTCAGCTCACTGCAAGCTCCGCCTCCCGGGTTTACGCCATTCTCCTGCCTCAGCCTCCCGAGTAGCTGGGAATACAGGCGCCCGCCACCTCGCCCGGCTAGTTTTTTGTATTTTTTTTAAGTAGAGACGGGGTCTCACCGTGTTAGCCAGGATGGTCTCGGTCTCTTGACCTCGTGATCCGCCCGTCTCGGCCTCCCAAAGTGCTGGGATTACAGGCTTGAGCCACCGCGCCTGGCCGTGCTTGTTCCTTTTTATCGTCAACAAGGACCAGCAAAGTCATGGCGATATGCTGGCACCTCGTTTTGGAGGGTGTGACCAGAGGAACTGCGTGCTGTGGCCATGGCACAGACGTCCCCAGTTCCCAGCCCCGGCCAGGTCCCCTCCTGCTGGGGTGGGGTGGGGTGGGGTGGCAAGCAGTCGGGACGGCCCATCCGCAGCGCCCGGTGAGTGCTGGTGCCTTGGAGGGGGCCACGTGATGTGTTGAGTGGGTGTGGGGGGAAGGTGGGGGAAATGGTGTCACAGAGGCCTTTGATGTTGTAAATAATTTCTATGCCATCTTAAAGAGCCAACTCTGGAAAAATATTAGTTGAAACGGGATCCAGCTAAACATGATAAGCCAACAAGGTGTGAAATGTGAGCTGTTGAGTTTTACGTCGAGGCCAGTGTGTACAGTTTTTAAGTCTGGTTTCTGTAGGGCTCCATGGCAAGGGGGCTGGTGGGGACACCTAGGACAGACACTTCTTACAAGGCTGAGGGCGTCGGGCTCCCTTTCCCTGTGCTCTCAGTTCACTGCAGTTTGGATGCCAGGAAGGCTAATGTCTGACACGCCCTCTTTTGGGATCAAATAACCCAAACTAGTCAGTTCTAGTAAATTTAGAAATTTACCAAGAGCTGGAGTCCCCTTTTCATTAAATCCATATGCTTGCCGGAAGTTAACGGGAGTCATAATAAAATATTGAATGAGACAAACACAATGAAGTGAATTAGACTAATTTTTGTAGTAAAACCACAAGCTTCGTTTGCACGATGAAAAAATACATATTGAGGCAGAACTCTACGATTGGTGTGTTACGTATGAAATTAAAGGCCTGGGACCATAAAATCGTCCTTTAGTATCTGGGGCTGATCAGATTTGTAATGACTTTTATATGAGACCACAGATTATTTATAATCGACTTACTTAAATAGTCTAACTGATATTGTTGAGGTAACTTTAAAACCTTTTTTGCTGAATGACTCACCCAGGAAGCTGTGAATCTGGAAGATTCTGCCTCTAACAGGCTTCCAACCACTTCTCCAGAACCGGTGGCTCATCATTCGCTTCTCCCAGAGCCTATCCAGATGTTAACACACGATGACACAGAAACCAGCACCCCTTTTTCCAGCATACTGAAGGTAAGGACTGTGTTACCAGGATTCAGTTCAGACTTAGAAAGTGCTCAGTCTGGCTGGGCAAGGTGGCTCGTGCCTGTAATCCCAGCACTTTGGAAGGCTGAGGTGGGCAGATCACAAGGTCAAGAGATCGAGACCATTCTGGCCAACATGGTGAAACCCTGTCTCTACTAAAAATACAAAAAAATTAGCTGGGTGTGGTGGTGCACACCTGTAGTCCCAGCTGCTCGGGAGGCTGAAGCAGGAGAATTGCTTGAACCTGGGAGGTGGAGGTTGCAGTGAGCCGAGATCGTGCCACTGCACTCTAGCCTGGTGACAGAGTGAGACTCTGTCTAAAAAAAGAAAAAGAAAAGAAAGTGCTCAGTCCGTGTGGATGGATTAAAATTTGAGATGAGTTTCATAAGGTAGCCCAAAGGATAAATCGACCTCATTTCCTTCTACTCCTATGCCTCAAGAGATCCTTCCTGCATGCTTATTAGGGTATGAGAAGAAATTACTTGTTAAAATTCAGGAGTGGGACGGTAAAAAGATAGTAGAGTGTTTAAAATCTTTTATTCCTTTGCTTTACTGGAAGCAAACAGAGACTTGTAGGCTATTGTTTTATTGTTTGTCAAATGTTTTGTAGGTGTGAAATTAAGAATGAGTCAGGCAACTGTGCAAGATGCCAAGGGTACAGCAACCAAGTGCAGGGACTGTATCTTCTGGAGTTTCCAGCCTCACAGGAAGACAGTCAATTAGAGAATCAAGACAGAGAGGGGGAAATTTAGTGACAGAGGGTGCCTTTCCTAGACAGAGGTTTTTTGAGGAACAACATCTTTATTACACAAATATTGCAGTGGTGTTGACAGAGTCCCTCCCTTTCTTCTCTCAGCCCTACATTGTATTCAGATGCATGGAGAATCCTGGTAACCTGCAAGCAGGTGCTGGGCAACACCTGGCCCGAGAAACTTTTTGGGGTCTAGGGAAGCATAGGAGGTAGATCAGTAGTCTGGAGTTAGAACCACCTTTCCTGAAAAGGAGCAGAAGTCATCCAGACAGAAAGTGGGAAGTGCCTGCTGCAGGACTGGGGCTGTCCCAGGCCAAGGTTCCTCCTTGGTGCAAGCAGGAAAGGCTTTCAAAGACGTGAAAGAAAATGAGTATGTCTGGAATGCAGCACCCAAAAAGGGGAGCCTGGGGAAAGAGGCAGGGAGACTGAGAAGGCCTTGATGAGAACCAGAGCCAGGAGGTGGACGTCATTTACCCTCAGCCAAGGGAAGAGTCATCAAAGGGGTTGAAGCATAAGAATGACATGGCCACACCTGTGTCAGGATGAATCAGGTGGGGTATGGAGAATATATTATATGTGAAAGCATCCAGGAAAATGCCACTGTCACGTCTCAGGTCTGTCTTACCTTAGGTTACCCAAATGACTTGCTTTATATTTTTGCTTTGTCTTGTCTTTGTTTATAACTTAAATCCATTTTAAAAAGTTGCAGCCGCTGCATCACCAGGTGGTATAACCACATGCAGTATCATGTCAGGGCCACGGTAACAGAGGCCCACAGGCCGAGCGCCTTAAACGGCTGAAATCTATTTTCTCACAGTCCTGGGGGCTGGAAGTCTGAGATCTAGCTATAGGCAGGGCTGGTTTCTTCTGGGGCCTCTCTCCTTGGCTTCCAGATGACTGTCTTCTCTGTGTCTTCATATTGCAGTCCCTCTTTACCAATCTGTGTCCTAATTTCTTCTTATAAGGACACCAGTCATATGGGATTAGGACCTACCCTAATGGCCTCATTGAAGCTTAATTACCTTTCTGCAGACCCTCCCTCCTCATACAGTCACAGTCTGAGGTATTGGAGATTAGGACTTCAACATGTGAATTTTGGGGTGTTGTGGTGAGATGCAGTTCAGACCATAACACTCTACTTAAGTAAAATGCTTTTTCCAAAATGTTGCTGCAAAAGAATTTTGAAGCAAAGGAACCAACAAATTTTTTCTTAAAACTCTGGAAGCTCAAGCAGTCCAATTTAATGAAATTCATTTACTACCAAGTAAATGCCTGTGCACACAATGTACTCCTCTAGAGAAAAGCCTATTGTCACTGCATCTGTATAATTGAATCACAAAAGATGCCTCCCTTGCCTCCCCCCACGCCATCAAGTCCTTTCATCTGTTTCCAATAAGGGAAAAAAGAGGACTCTTCTGGGCATGTTTACATTTTATCTTTAAACAAAACTAAATGGAATTTGACATGGTAAAGCCAGGCCATGTTACATATCAATGTGAAATGGAACGTTTCTCGGGCCAGGTGTTGCCCAGCACCTATGTGCAGGTTCCCAGGATTCTCCACGCACCTGAACAGAATGTGGGGCCCCGAGAGGAAAGGGAGGGACTCAGTCAACACCACTGCAATATTTGTGCAAGAAGATGTTCCTTAAAAAAACCTTTACTGCCTTTTATTGACTTTAAAAGTCACAGTTTTCCTTAAATACTTCTTTTTTCCCAATTTCACTGTAACTTACATCATATTCTCTTACATAAAAATTACTCTCCAGACTGAAATGCTTCATTCTGACATCTGTCCAAAAATGTTTCTTCTGCAACTTGCAGTCGTAACTACTTGTTTTAATACCACCAACTCCTTCTTCCTGCTGTCACGTTCTTGCAGAAAAGGCAAGTGAAAAGAAAACATGCCTCCTGGGATCCCGGGAAATGCAGTATCATTCTCTGTCGAGCGATTTGCCATATTTATGTAACCAGTGGAAAACAAACACAGACATGTACTACAATCAGGAAGCTCCAGTTTGCTCTATTTTTAAAAACCTTGGTCTGCTTTCTTCAGAAAGAGAGTCAGCTGGAGTCAGAGTTTATAGATTGCTTATCAGCAAGGCCATCCCCTGCAATGATCAGCCTAAAGACATCCCATTCAAAAAGTTAGGGAGCAAAAACTAGACCATATGCCCAAGTTAGCATAGTCCCTATTTTTGGGAGTTCGTAGCCCTACCCTATAGTGCAAAAGTGGGAATGGCAGAATTTACTATGATAGCTAGAGTAGTGTGGTGTGACAGGAAAAAAAGAAATCACTGACAACAATGACATTTTGGGGCAGAACTTTACAATGAACTTGTTATGTACGAAGTGGAAGGCCTCTGTCTTGAAATCTTCATTAAGTATCCAGGGCCTGTGTTTCCCTGAGATTTTCTATTTCTCTGATATGAGACCAGAGATTATTTGCAATTTAGTTATTGAATATTCTAAATGACTGGGTCATAGAGTCACTTTACATTTACTGTAACCCCAATGGGAATTTTGAGCGAGATCAGCAATTTTATTCTAAACATTTTCTGAAAGAATAAAAAAATAGCTAATATATAATAGTTTAGAAAAATAAAGAAAAATTGAGATTTCTTTTCTTTACCAGAAGCAAAACATACTCTAGAGACTTCTACTTCTGGGGAAATGAAGCAGATACACATTTACCTAGTCGCTCCAATAAGTATAACTAAAAACCCTAGAAGTTGTGTATAAGACAAACATCCGAATACTTTGATTGGCAGACAAGAAAGCAGACTGTTTAGGGGCTTTGGGACCCAAGGAAGACTTTTCTCTGGGCTTTCTTTTGCCTCTCGTATCTTAGACTGGATACTGGAGAAGCCAGCAGTCTGTAAACACCAATGTGCGCCAGACAAAAAAAAAAGTTCCAAAAAAAGATCTGCTTCCCCTACCTAGACAGAGGATCAGGAGAGGGGCAGCCTAGCAAGACGGAAAACTTTCAGACAGTAACTGCTGTATTCAAACCAAATGCCACAGAAAAAACTGTGGTGGGACTCCAGCACTTACAGGTGGCTGAGTGGGGACCCTTGACTTTCACTCCTGAGAGGCCAACGGGTGCCCCAGCTCCCCGCTGGGTGGCAGCAAGTCACCTTGTGTCTGGTGGCATCAGTGGACGTCACGCAGGGAGCCTGTGCTTCCAACCTGACTCAGGGATAACAAGGTTCCTCCTCCTTTCAAAGGTGGTGTCCCAAGAGGCTTAGTAGAAAGTCAAAACCTTCTCTATCCATCAGCAGGAGAAAGGCCCCACCCCCAGCTGCCTGAAAGAACGGCTAAATTCCAAGTTCAGAAACACCCGGAGCCTAAAGAATATGCTCCCAAATAATCCATAGGTCAAAGAGAGAGTCTCAAGAGAAATAAAAAGCATACTGAACTAAATGAAAAGGAAAACACTTCTTTCAAAATGTGTGGGGCACAGCTAAAATAGTGCTGAGAGAGAAATTTGTAGCAATAGATGTTTACATAAGAAAAAAGTAAAATTCTCAGCCAGGCGCGGTGCCTCACACCTGTAATCCCAGCACTTTGGGAGGCTGAGGCAGGCGGATCACAAGGTCAGGAGGTTGAGACCAGCCTGGCTAATATGGTGAAACCCTGTCTCTACTGAAAATACAAAAATTAGCCAGGCGTGGTGGCAGGCACCTGTAATCCCAGCAACTTGGGAGGCTGAGGCAGGAGAATTGCTTGAACCCAGGAGGCGGAGGTTGCAGTGAGTGGAGATCATGCCACTGCACTCCAGCCTGGGTGACAGAGCAAGACTCCGTCTTGGGGAAAAAAAAAAGAAAGAAAGAAAAAAGTAAAATTCTCAAATGAGTAATTTAAGCCCTCACAAGAAACTAGAGGAAGAAGAGCAAAATAAATATACAGCAAGCAGAAGGAAAGAAATCTTTATAAAGAGAAGAGCAAGAATCAGTGAAATCATGAGCAGAAAAACAGTAGAGAAAACCAATGGAACAAAAAGTCTGGTTCTTAGGAAAGATCAATAAAATTGACAAAAAATTCTCAGAAATCTAGGAGTAGAGGGGACTTCAACTTGATAAGGAATATGTACAAAAAACCCTACAGCTAAAAGCATGCATAATGGAGAAAATTGGAATGGTTTTCTACTATGACTGGGAACAAGGCAAGAATGTCCACACTGTCATTGCTGTATTCAGCACAGTGCTGGAAGTTCTAGGCACTGTAAGCAGCAAGAA